CTCAGTCCATCACAGAGACACCCTGGACAGGTCTCAGTCCATCACAGGGACACCTATGGACAGTTTAGGGTTAATCAGACTAACATGCATGTTTTTGGTCTGTGGGAGAAAACCCACGCATGTATGGAGAGAACATGCAAACTCCACCCAGAAAGGCCCCGGGCCAGGATTTGAACCATCAACCTTCTTACGAAGAGGCAACAGCTCTACCAGAAGTGATTTTAAAATTCTCCTGCTAACCTTTAAGGCCTAAATGGCCTTGCACCCCCTCATCTCTCTGAGCTACTGGTACCATGCAGGTGCTCTTTGTGTGCAAACAACCGTAGAAAAGTGAAAACCTCCATAAAAAGAGTGAGGCAACATGACGATGAACATCCTGACGGGTGTTTCTTCTTCCTGCAGGCATTCTGCGAGACTCTGGAGGAAAGTAACTATCGCCTCCAGAAGGAGCTGCTGGAGAAGCAGAAGGAGATTGCCTTTTTAAAGAGGAAGCTGGAGGAGAGGGAGGAGGTCATCATCCTGCTGGAGAAACGTCTCGGGTCAGTCGAGTCTCGCACATCCAGATGGTGTTGGACAGGAAGCCCAGATATTTGTACTGAGGTTGTGTTAATGCTTCCTGTGGTTGTGTGTGTTCTAGTGGTGGGTGCGTGAGTCCGGAGTCGCCCTGCACTCTGTCAGCTCGGGGCAGTGAAAGCAGCGCCGACATTGACGTGGAGTCGTCTGCAGCAGAGGCCGATCAGGACCTGCCTGATGACGCTGGGTATGCTAACACAACACAACACGAAATGTAAGACTGTACGACAACAGAGCAGCTGCAGCAGTGAAGTCAACCTGCAGCGGCCCCCCACCAGCTAACTCTGTTACTTTTGCCCCTTTTCCATAAGTACCGTACCTCTTAGTACCAGTACAGCACGGTTTGACTCGGCTCGATACAGTACACGTTGTTTCCATTATACTTTCAGTACCGGTTCTGGTGGGCGGGGTTCAAATTGACATCACGCACCTCACCAGCTGGTGTTGGCAAGACCCTGAAACAGGTTTCAGTACAGGGTGAGACTTTATTTAGAAGTTTCTGGTAAATTAAAAAGACTACAGATTATCAAAATAGTTTAATAATAATAATTAAAAATATATATATATATTTATATATATATATATATATATATATATATATATATAAATCCTGCTAATTAACTTTTAATGAACTTTAATTCACCATTAAATCTCTGATGAATCTGATTCTACAAAAACATCTACAGGTCCTTCTCAAAAAATTAGCATATTGTGATAAAGGTGATTATTTTCCATAATGTAATGATAAAAATGAAACTTTCATATATTTCAGATTCATTGCACACCAACTGAAATATTTCAGGTCTTTAATTGTTTTAATACTGATGATTATGGCATACAGCTCATGAAAACCCAAAATGCCTGTCCCAAAAAATTTGCATATTTCATCCCACCAATGGAAGACAAGTGTTTTTAATACAAAAAACGCCAACCTTCAAATAATCATGTTCAGTTATGCACTCAATACTTGGTCGGGAATCCTTTTGCATGAATGACTGCTTCAATGCGGCGTGGCATGGAGGCAATCAGCCTGTGGCACTGCTGAGGTGTTATGGAGGCCCAGGATGCTTCGATAGCGGCCTTAAGCTCATCCAGAGTGTTGGGTCTTGCGTCTCTCAACTTTCTCTTCACAATATCCCACAGGTTCTCTATGGGGTTCAGGTCAGGAGAGTTGGCAGGCCAATTGAGCACAGTAATACCATGGTCAGTAAACCATTTACCAGTGGTTTTGGCACTGTGAGCAGGTGCCAGGTTGTGCTGAAAAATGAAATCTTCATCTCCATAAAGCTTTTCAGCAGATGGAAGCATGAAGTGCTCCAAAATCTCCTGATAGCTAGCTGCATTGACCCTGCCCTTGATAAAACACAGTGGACCAACACCAGCAGCTGACATGGCACCCCAGACCATCACTGACTGTGGGTGCTTCACACTGGACTTCTGGCATTTTGGCATTTCCTTCTCCCTAGTCTTCCTCCAGACTCTGGCACCTTGATTTCCGAATGACATGCAAAATTTGCTTTCATCCGAAAAAAAAAAGCACTTTGTACCACTGAGCAACAGTCCAGTGCTGCTTCTCTGTAGCCCAGGTCAGGCGCTTCTGCCGCTGTTTCTGGTTCAAAAGTGGCTTGACCTGGGGAATGCGGCACCTGTAGCCCATTTCCTGCACACGCCTGTGCACGGTGGCTCTGGATGTTTCTACTCCAGACTCAGTCCACCGCTTCCGCAGGTCCCCCAAGGTCTGGAATCAGCCCTTCTCCACAATCCTCCTCAGGGTCCGGTCACCTCTTCTCATTGTGCAGCGTTTTCTGCCACACTTTTCCCTTCCCACAGACTTCCCACTGAGGTGCCTTGATACAGCACTCTGGGAACAGCCTATTCGTTCAGCAATTTCTTTCTGTGTCTTACCCTCTTGCTTGAGGGCGTCAATGATGGCCTTCTGGTCAGCAGTCAGGTCGGCAGTCTTACCCATGATTGCGGTTTTGAGTAATGAACAAGGCTGGGAGTTTTTAAAAGCCTCAGGAATCTTTTGCAGGTGTTTAGAGTTACGTCGTTGATTCAAATGGTTAGGTTAATAGCTTGTTTAGAGAACCTTTTCATGATATGCTAATTTTTTGGGACAGGCATTTTGGGTTTTCATGAGCTGTATGCCATAATCATCAATATTAAAACAATTAAAGACCTGAAATATTTCAGTTGGTGTGCAATGAATCTGAAATATATGAAAGTTCAATTTTTATCATTACATTATGAAAAATAATGACCTTTATCACAATATGCTAATTTTTTGAGAAGGACCTGTATATTTAAATTTTTATTTGATGTATTTGCACTCATTGTGTGTACTTTTATTGTTCAATTTAAATATGTGGCTTTGATTGTTGTTCAGATATTTTTTTATTTTAGCTTTGATTTAAAGTTTAATTCTGGTTTTGTGATTTCTACATCTGTGTGGTAGAATAAAGTTGAACTAAAGCTGGTGTGCCCAACCAGTCGCTTGCGGGCGACCGGTCGCCTGCGAGCTGGTTCCCAGTCGCCCGCGAAGTGAAACCTTGACTTGTATTCTCACAGACATAGTCTCACGAGTTTTGGGTGCGGTGACACAGCGCTCTCACGAGACTTGAGGCTCAGTAGTGGAGTAATGTCGGTGCGCAGAAAACATGGATGGAAAACTAGCGAACAAGCAAACGAAAACTTATTATTTTCACACAGAGTGGGAGGAGGAGTATTTTTTTGTTTATTCTAATTCGAAGTCCATTTGCCTCATCTGTAATTCGAGCGTTGCCTTACCCAAAAAGTGTAACTTGGAGCGGCATTTCAAGACGATGCACAAACGGTTTGAGACAGATTTCCCTCTTAAAAGTTCTTTACGGACTCAGAAAGTGCGGGAGCTAAAAAACAAGCTTGCAGCCCAGCAATGTCTTCACTCGGCCCAGCACAAAAGGTAAAGCTGCTACGATAGCTTCCTACCGTGTTAGCTGCATCCTGGCTCAACATAAGAAGTCTTTCAGCGATGGACAAGTTATGAAAGAAGCGTTTATTGAGGCTGCAGATGCGCTTTTTCATGATTTTAAAAATAAAAGTGAGATCGTAGCTGCTATTAAAGACGTGCAGTTGTCCAGACAAACAGTGACACGGCGATGTGAGGGAATGGCTGTGGATGTGGAGGAGCAGCTAAAAAAGGACGTGGAACAATGTGAGTGTTTCTCTCTTCAGTTTGATGAGTCGACAGACATGGTGGATGTAGCCCAGCTGTGTGTTTTTATCAGAATGGCCTTTGCAGACATGAGTGCAAAAGAGGAGCTGCTCACCATCTTGCCTTTGAAGGGACACACAAGAGGAGAAGATATTTTTAATGCGTTTATGGAGTTTGTTAATAAAAGCAACTTGCCCCTCTTTAAACTAATTTCTATAACAACTGATGGCGCTCCAGCAATGACTGGTCACACCAGTGGATTTGTTGCACTCTGCAAGCAGAATGATGCTTTCCCAGACATTTTGCACTATCACTGCATCATCCACCAACAGGCCCTGTGTGGGAAGATTTTAAACATGAAGGAAGTGATGGATGTTGCCATGAAAACTGTGTGCTCTATAAGGGCCAGGAGTCTGCAGAGGAGGTTGTTCCAGGCTCACTTGGAGGAGGCAGGAGCAGACCACACAGACCTGCTGCTGCACATGGACGTCAGGTGGCTAAGCAGAGGTAAATTTCTGGACAGATTCAGTGAGCTGTTGCCTGAGATCAGGGATTTTCTGAAGCTGTCAGATCATGGTGAACATTCAAAACTAGAGGACACCCAGTGGCTTTTGGATTTAGCCTTCCTCACAGATCTCACCAGCCTGCTCAATGAACTAAATTTGGAGCTTCAGGGAAAGGACAAAAACATAATCCACATGATCAGTTCTGTGAGCACCTTCAAAAGCAGGCTGCAACTGCTCACAAGTGGGCTGCAACGCAGGGACCTGCAAAACTTCCCACACATGGAGGCAGAGCTACAGCGCCAAGGGAAAGAGGTCCCACAACTGGACAGTGCACACTATTCTAAGCAGGTTCAGAGCATCTCAGCAGAATTTGAGAGACGATTTACTGACTTTTCCTCCATCGAGCCTGTTACCAGCTACACGTGTTATCCTTTTGAAAATGTTGATGTGGATGACATTGTGTCCAAATTGGTGTCCGTGTTTCAGCTGGACAGCTCTGGTGTTGAAAATGAGGTGTTGAGTCTGCAAAATGACATTGGGATCAAATCCAGAGCATCACCTGGTGTGGATGGAGAGTTCTGGAGTCTGCTGTCAGAAGAAAAGTATCCTAA